AGTAGTATACTATATCATGGATTGATGTTACATACTGACCTATTCAAAGGGCCCTATAAGGGTCACCTACCTTTCTTAAAATGATAGGGGTGGAATATCAAAGGCCTGAATGGGCCTCTAAAGCAGGAGGAAGTAAAGAAGTTAATTAAGAAGTATGATATTAAGCTGTTGGGCTTAATGGAAACAAAAACTAAGGAGGCTAGAGTTGCTGAGGTAGAAAAGAAACTCTTCCATGGATGGGGGTCTTTCATAAATATTGAGGACCACCCAAATGGAAGATTATGGGTGGTATGTAATAAAAGAGAGATGTTGGTAGATATAGTTAACTCCATTGATCAAGCTGTCCACTACAAGGTTACAGAGAGAAGGGGGAACAAAAGTTTCCACATTACATTTATCTATGGTCATAATGACCAAAGTAACATGAAACACTTATGGACTGCCCTAACTAGCTATGCTGCAAACACAAAGGGTGCTTGGTGTATCATGGGGGACTTCAATTCTGTCCTAAATATGAATGATAGGGTGGGAGGCAACAATATATCTCTTGAAGAAATCAAAGACTTCAAGGAATGCATGAATCAGTGTGGATTGGAAGAGGTCCTTTCTAATGGATCTTTCTACACTTCGTCTAATAAACAATCCTTATGCCATAGGATTTACTCTAAATTGGATAGGGTCTTGGCTAATATGGACTGGTTTCTGGAATATGGAACTAATGTTCTTATTTTAGAGGAGGGGATTTCTGATCATTGTCCCATTCTTATTCCTCCCCCTCATGCCCAACTATGAAGTGGTGGATTCAAGTATTGTGATATGTGGAGATTGGACCCTGGTTTCCATGGTATTGTGAAAAGGATCTGGGAAGAGGAGGTGGAAGGAAGATGTTTCAGCTTGTGCAGAAACTAAAGGAGTTAAAAGCGCCTTTGAAGAAATTAAACAGACAAATTTATGCATATGAATGAACAGATTGAAATCTTGAGAATGGAACTGCATAATATATAGAAGGAGCTGAATGATAACAGGATGCAGTATTATTAAAGAAGGAGAAGGATCTTACAAAGGAATACCAGATGAAAGTGAAAGCAATGCTACTCATGAGGAAGAAGCAAACTAAGATGGACTGGATATCTGTCAGGGGACCAAATTGTTCCATGCCTGGGTCAAAAATAGGGGGATACAAAACAATATTGTGACCATAAAGAATGCCAAGGGTGAAGTGATTAATGATACTACAGGGGTTGCAGATATACTGCTGCAATATTACCAAAAAGTACTTGGGACTGAGATAGAGATAGAGAGTATTAATTAGAAGGAGATGTTGGAGTTGGTGCCCTTATGGCCAACTGCTGTTGTAATATCTTAGATATTTTCTATCATGTAAAGGCAGATGCATTAAGTTTACAAACATCTCATGCTAATGTAAACTCTTAATTGCAATCCTAGAATTATATTATAAGATGTTTATCAGAATGAGTCTTCTGATGTTGAGACTGACATCTTGTCACTTAGTATAATTCTAAACGTTCTATAGTCGAAGCATTAACGAGAGTGGGATATCGTTAGTGCGTGTGAGACTAGTGAGAGTCAGATGTTTGACCTAGTCTCTTGGTCAATGACGGAGTGTTCGCATCTACTCTCGGGCAGATATTATCGTTAATAATAGGATGCCAAACCTTACCCACCTTATGGACATTGCCTAGACTTTTAGTCTATGCTCTAAGTGTCCTTAATGCGACTATTGGTATAACGATCCTCAGACTTGAAGTATTACGTTCTTCGAATGTGTGAACCCGCATGCTTTGATTCATTGTCCTAAGTCGTATGAAATAAGGATAGTACACAGGCTTTGTATTGGGCATGCCGCTGCACATATTTGAAGACGTAGATTACGCACAAAGAATTTGTCACTGCTACTTAAGTAGAATAATGTCTTGTAGGGGCCCACTGATAAGTATGACTGAGGAAATGCATGGCCATGCTGAGATGAGTTTAGACATCTGTTCTCATCAGTCAGACTTGTTAATCAGTAAATAACTTAATGGCTACAAGTTGAATATTTTATATCCCTTGCACTAAGTTAAGACATTGGGACAAAAGGATCTACGTTATACAAAGTCTTAGTCGTAGAAAGGTTTTGACGGAGCAAACATCTGAACTTATAATCTGGAGGTAATAATGTGTTGCTAGATACCGCTTATTACTTATACTATTGATGTAGAGTCAATACTGTGTCCAGTTTTATAAGTGCCTATATGGGTCACACACTTTGGACAATTTAAAGAGTAAGATTATAAGAAGGGATAATATTTAATTTCTATATTGTAAAATAGTAAAGTAAAATGTTTAATATAATATATATATGTATATATATACATTGTACACGCCACATATATATATATATATGTACACTTTGCACATGACATACACCTTCAAAGCTCGATTGGTAGCAAAAGGTTATAGACAAATCCACGAAATTGACTATGATGAAACCTTTTCTCCAGTTGTTATGCTGAAATCCATTCGGATAATGCTTGCGATTGCAGCCTATTACGATTACGAAATTTGGCAGATGGACGTCAAGACGACTTTCCTTAACGGGAACCTCAAAGAGGATGTCTTCATGACACAGCCTGACGATTTTCAAATTGCTGGTCAGTCTGCCAAAGTTTGTAAACTGCAACGTTCAATCTACGGATTGAAAGAAGCATCTCAGAGTTGGTACATACGTTTCGATGAAACCATATCCAGTTTTGGTTTCGAGAAGAACTCTAATGAATCTTTTGTATACAAGAAGGTGAGTGGGAGTGTAATAGTATTCCTAATCTTATATGTTAATGACATATTGTTAATGGGTAACGATATTCCCGCTCTCACTTCTGTAGAGTCGTGGTTGAGCGAGAACTTCTCCATGAAAGACTTAGGGGATGCTAGTTATGTCCTTGGCATAAGAATCTACCGAGATAGATCAACAAAGTTAAGAGGTCTGAATCAAAGTACATATATAGATAAAATCCTTGATCGATTTAGCATGTCTAACTCAAAGAAAGGATCTTTACCTATGACACTTGGCACGGTTCTTTCCAAGAGCCAGAGTCCTTCTACTCCCGAGCAGAAGGAACTCATGATGAAGGTTCCATACGCTTCTGCGATTGGATCCATCATGTACGCCATGATATGTACTAGACCTGATGTCTCATTCGCTTTAAGCGTGACCAGCAGATACCAAGGAAGTCCAGGAGAAGCACACTGGATAGCAGTCAAGAACATCCTCAAGCATCTTCGCAATACTAAGGATGCATTCCTGGTATACGGTGGTGAGGAAGAGCTAAAGGTGGTCGGTTACACTGATGCTAGCTTCCAAACCGATAGAGACGATTCAAAATCACAAGTAGGATATTTGTTTTGCCTGAATGGCGGGGCTTTTAGCTGGAAGAGCTTCAAGGAGGATACAATCGCCGATTCGACTACAGAGGCTGAGTACGATACATAGCTGCCGCCGAGGCAGCTAAAGAAGCTGTTTGGATCAAGAAGTTCATTACTGAACTTGGAGTTGTTCCTAGTATTAATGACCCTATCTCGTTGTTGTGCGACAACACTGGGGCCATTACACAGGCAAAGGAACCGCGATCTCACCAGAAAACCAAACATATTGTACGACGCTATCACATCATACGAGAAATCGTAGACAGAGGAGATGTGAAGATTTGCAAAGTAGATACTGACGACAACATAGCCAATCCCTTGACCAAGCCTTTAGGAAAGCTAAAGCATGAGGATCACACTAGGTCCAGATTGGCCATAGTGCAAGTGGGAGATTGTTGGAGGTTTGCCCTGATGGCCAACTGTTTATCATTATTCTATCATTATTTTATCATTATTCTATCATGTATAGGTAGATATAATATGTTTACACATCTCATGCTAATGTAAACAAATATTATATTCCTAGATTTATATTTAAAAGATGTTTATCAGATAGTGTTATTCTGCTCATGAGACGACTAACATCTTGAAATAAATATTTATCTAAATGTCCATAGTCGAGTATTAACGAGAGTGGGATATCGTTAATGCATGTGAGACTAGTGTGTGTTGGATGTTTGACTTAGTCTCATAGTCAATGATGGTGTGTTCGCATCCGCACATGGGCAGATATTATCTAGAGATAATAAGATGCCGGACTGACCCATCCTAAAGATGTTGTTTGAACTTTTAGTTCATGCTTTAAATATCTTTAGCGCGACCACGGGTGTAACTATCATTTGACTTGAAGTATTACGTTTTCTGCATATGTGAACCCGCATGCTTTGATGCATTGTCCTAAGCCATATGAAATAATGATGGTATACAGGCTTTGTTTCGGGTATGTCGCAGCGCGTAGTCAAAAACGTAGATTACGTACATAGGATTTGTCACTACTCTTTTTAAAGAGATTAATGTCTTATGGGGCCCACTGATAAGTTATGACTAAGGAAATTGCATGGCCATGCTGAGATGTTTTTATGACGTCTGTTCCTATTAGTCAGACTTGATAAATCAGTGAATGACTTAATGGATACAAGTTGGATTCTATTAATCCCTTGCATTAAGTTTAGACATTGAGACAAAGGGATACAGTTACACGGAGTCTGAGTCGTGGAAAGGTTTTGACGGTGCAAACGTCTTAACTTATAATCTGGGGGCAATAATGTTTTGCTAGATACCTCTTATTGCTTATAGTATTGTTGCAGAGCCAATACTGTGGCCAGTTTTATAAGTGCCTATACGGGTCACACACTTTGGACAATTTAACGAGTAGGATTAAACAATGGGATAATAAGTAATTTGTATATTTGTAAAATAGTAAAATAAAATATTTTGGAATATAATATTATATATATGATATTCGATTATATATATATTATATATATTTGTACCGATTAATATATATATATATATATACATATATATTTTTTTTTAAACCTGAAAAACATCACCACTAAGGGTGTGATAGAGCCCAGGTACGCTCTATCTTATTAAATTAAAGATGAAATAAATAGTACAAAGGGATAGGGTGGGCTAAACCCAAACAAGGCCCAACAAAGCTAAAAAAATAAAATAAAGTCCTGATATTCTGCCCCTAATGGGCGAGGAAAATATGAAAAAGGAGAAAAGAGTTAGAAGAACTCCAAGTTATCCAAATCATCCTCAAACTCCTCAAAATTCTCAGTATCAAGTGAATTCTTCCCATTGACGGCTAAGTGTGCTATCTCCTCAGCCCGAGCCTGTTTGAGTTTCATCTTTGCCTTCTTTTTCTGTTTTTTGCTA